CCCCCCCCCCCCGACCCTTATCTCCAATGAACCAGTCAAAAACCAGAAGTGGAGCTGTGACTCAAAGTGGTAGAGTGTTAGCCTTGAGCAAAAGAGCTCAATGGCAGGGCCCAGACCCTGAGTTCAAACCCTACCACCACCACCAAAAAAAAAGGGGGGGGGAGGGACCAACTCTTCAGTGTATGCAGAGCAACAGTAGTTTCTATTTACAAGAGACCACTAATGCATTTAGCTGGAGAAATCCTCTGAAAAAGGAAAGGTAGCCAAGTATAATAGTGCACACTTGTAATCCCAGCACGCCGTAAGGTGAAGCAGGATGATCTCAAGTTTGAGGTCAGCCTGGACTATGTTGTATCTCACACCTGTAATCCTAGCTACTCAGGAGGCCAAGATCTGAGGATCATAGTTCAAAGCTAGCATGGGCAAGAAAGTCCTCGAGAATCTTTATCTCCAAGTTAAAAGAAAAAAAAAGGGGGGGGAGCTGGGAAGGTGGCTCAGTGGTAGAGCGCTTGCCTTGCATGCTTGAGGCCCTGGGTTCGATTCCTCAGCACCACATAAGCAGAAAAAAAAACAACCCAGAAGTGGCGCTGTGGCTCAAGTGGTAGAGTGCTAGCCTTGAGCTGAACAGCTGAGGGACAGTGCCCAGGCCCAGAGTTCAGACCCCATGACTGGACCCCCCCCCAAAAAAAAAAAAAGCCAGAAGAGGAGCTATGTTCTGGCACTGGAGATTCACATTGTAATCCTAGTTACTCAGGAGGCTGGGATGTGAGAATGGAAGTTCAAAACCAGCTTGGCCAGAAAGGTAGACTCCTATCTCTAGATAATCACCAGAAAACCAGAAGTGGAGCTGTATGTAGCTGTATGTAGCTCAAAGATCTGGCCTTGAGCAGAAGAGTACAAAGGTCAGCACCTAGGCTCTGAGTTCAAGCCCTAAGACTAACATATATACATAAAGAGATCGGAGGTCCTCAAGACCGTCTAACTCTAGGCCTGACCATACCTTTTGTGGGGGGCTCTCCTTTGACTTTCTCCTGAGTGGAAGCCAGAACTTTGTCTACGCCTATGGAGAGTCATCCTAAGGTATTCTAGTGCTATCCCAAATACTCTGCACCAGGGACCCAGACTGACTACCAGTCACTATAAGAGTGTCTCCAGGAACACTTATGAACCATTTCCTTGGGCTCTATCCTCCCTACTCTCTTCTGATCACATCCAGTGGTAGAACCCCCTGGAATTCCCCAAAGGCACCTGACAGGAAGTCCAACAAGCTATAATATAGGCAGGCCAGAAAATGCAAAACAAAAATCCAGGCTTAGCTGGGTGCTGGTAGCTCCCGCCTGTCATCCTAGCTACTCAGGAGGCTGAGATCTGAGGATCACAGTTCAAAGCCATCCTGGGCAGGAAAGGCCATGAGATTCTGATCTCCAATGAACCACCAGAAACCCAGAAGTGGTGCCATGGCTCAAGCGGTAGAGTGCTCGCCTTGAGCTGAAGAGCTGAGGGACAGCGCCCAGGCCCAGAGTTCCAGCCCCATGAGCAACAAAAATAAAAATAAAAACAAAAAGTAAATAATAGTCCAGGCTTCAGGAGGGAGCATACTCCTGAAATGGGAACCTAGCAGAGATAAAAAAGGAACTAAAGGGGGTGATTCCTTCCAGGCTAGGCCCAATCCTGGGTCTCCGATCAAAGACTTCAATGGACAAGACTCAGATTGAAGTTCTTATAAGTAATACAAACTCTTTAAGACTTTTTAATTGGACATTAACACAAGGCATGGACAATTAATATAAAGAAGCATTAACTACAGAACCAAGTAGGTCTGCTGGTGAGGCCACACAGAAGATGCTCAAATAGACCAAAAGCGAAGGCCAGATGCTATCAGCCTAGCTTCTCAGGAGGCTGAGAACTAAAGATCGGAGTTCTAGGTCACTCAGAGTCGGAAAGTCTGTGACAGTATTATCTCCAATGAACCACCAAAAAGCTGTGGCTCAAGAGACAGAGTACCAGCCTTGAGCAATAAAAGCTAAAGGACAGCACTCAGGCCCTGAGATCAAACCATGGTACCACACGCATGCATGCACACGCACACGCACATACACACGCGCGCGCGCACACACACACAGCAAGCCCAGCCCGGTGCTGGTACCTCACTCCTGTCATCCTAGCTACTAGCTACTCAGGAGGCTGAGATCTGAGGATTGCAGTTCAAAGCCAGCCTGGGCAAGAAAATCCATGAGACTTTTATCTCCAATAAGCCACCAGAAAACCAGAAGTGGAGCTGTGGCTTAAAGTGGTAGAGTACTAGCCTTGAGCAAAGAGCTCAGGGACAGCGCCCAGGCCCTGAGTTCAAGACTCATGACCAACTAAAAAGAAAAAAAAAAAATCAAAACAAAGAAAGCCCTATTTTACTCCTTAGACCCTCTGGAGGTGGCTCCAGGGACTAGCCAGCCTTGAATAGCATGTAGAACACAGGGAGTGTGATCAAAAACGTCACACAAGTGAGTGCTGTACTGTACAAGGTGTTCCTGTTAACCTGGGCCTCTAGTTTCTGCTCCATGTCAGATAGGGCCAGAATCATGCTCCCCTGCTCTAGCAAAGGGCTGGCCAGAGCTCCATCTACTGGCTCCACCAGGCCTGGGTGTGTGGCAGCTGTTACAAGTTGAACCACTCTAGCCATTTGGCTACAAGTCTTTTCCAGGCCATCAAGCTGTTCTCGTAAAGCCTCAAGACAGGACTGGACCTGCCGGGAGTGACTGAGCTGTTCTTTCACAGCGGCTGAAAAGACATCGGTTTCTCTGTCTTTAGTGGGGGGACTGCCCGCTGGCGACCCAGAACCCTGGCCCTTCCCAGCATGCACCAGGCCCCTCAGGTCCACCATGAGGTCCTGGAGATCCTTTTGCTGGAGAGAGTAGCTAGATGCCTGCTCTCGGATGGCCTCCTGGAGGTTCACAGGTCCTTTCTGGGCCTCTAGGAGTAAGGCTTTCAGTTCCTGTAGCCGGACACGGTTCACATAGGTAGAACCAGCCACGCCAATGAGGGCTCCCAGGACTGACCCAATAAGGGACCAGTTCTTGGTCCTCTCTGCCCTCGTGCGTTCCTTCTCGTGACTCTCCCGCACAGCGGCTGAGAAGAGAGAGAACTTCTCCCGCTCAGAGTCCTCGGCACGCAGGTAGGCTGTACGCAGCCTCTTCTCATCCTGTAGAAGCAAAGCATCATCACAGAAGAGCAAAGGAGCTGGGTACTTGTGGCTCACACCTGTCATCCTAGCTACTCGGGAGGCTGAGATCTGAGGATCATGGTTCAAAGCCAACGTAGGCAGGAAAAGTCTGTGATACTCATATTTCTTATGAACTACCCAAAAAGCCAGAGCTGTGGCTCAAATGGTAGAGTACTAGCTTTGAGCAAATGAAGTTTACGGCTCTGAGTTCAAGGCCCAAGACAGGCAGGCAGGCAGGAAGGAGCAAGCTAGGCACTGATGGCTCATGCCCGCAACCCTAGATACTCAGAAGGCTGAGATCTGAAGACTGTGGTTCAAAGCCAGCCCAGGCAGAAAAGTCAATGAACCACCAGAAAATTCAAGTGGCTCTGTGGCTCAAAGCACTAGCCTTGGGCACAAAAGTTCAGCAAGAGCACCCAGGCCCTGAGTTCAAGGCCCGTGACTGGCAAAAAAAAAAAAGGCAGGAACAAAAGAAGGAAGGGCCTAGATACTTAGGAGATTTAGTTCTAGGATCATGGTTCAAAGCCAGCTCCAGCAGGAAAGTCTGTTGAGACTCTTCTCTCCAATTAACCACCAAAAAAAAAAAAGCCAGAAGTGGGGCTGGGATGTGGCTTCGTGGTAGAGCGCTTGCCTAGCATGCATGAAGACCTGGGTTCCATTCCTCAGTACCACATACACAGAAAAAAGGCAGAAGTGGCGCTGTGGCTCAAGTGGTAGAGGGCTAGCCTTGAGCAGAAGCAGCTCAGGGACAGTGTCAGGGTCCTGAGTTCAAGCCGCAGGACTGGCCAAAAAACAAAAGCAAAAATAAACAAGCAAATGAAAAAGCCAGAAGTGGAGTAGTGACTCATGTGGTAGAAGGCTAGTAAAAAAAAAAAAAACTCAGGGACAGTGCCTAGGCCCTGAGTTCAAGCCTCACCATCCACATACAAAAAGATGGGGGCCGGGGAGGGGGGGGAGGGAGGGAAGAAGGGAAGAAAGGAGAAGGAAGGAAGGAAAAGAAAGAACCTAGCACTCCCTCCATGGAGGACTGCGTTGGCCTGTGCACTCCAGCCTTCAGGAAAAAGTAGGTGGACAGACTTGTGAAGAGTGGAGCCCTGGCTTTGCCTTCCAGGCTACCTGGTCTCCAGACCTCTTGTCCCACGAGGCAGTCAGGGTTTCCAGCCAGCCCTCCTCCAGTATGCCAGGGCGAGGAAGACCTACCTGTAGCATCCTGTGTTCCAGGGTGGCTAGCTCCAGGTACTGGCTGTCCTCTCTGGAGACGCGGTCCAAGCGGGCCCTCACCTCTTTCAGCTTGGCCTGCTGAGCCTCTAAAGCCTCTCGAGCCTCCCGGACAAGGCCTCGAGCCACCATGAACACCTTTTCTGCCTGGAGAGAGGAGAGCAGACACCATCAGCTCCTTTTCTCCGCACCTACAGAGGCTCTGCTTCATGGCTAACAAGAGGGTGCTGGAACTGGGTAGCTGGTGGCTCACGCCTGTCATCTTAGCTACTCAGGAGGCTGAGATCTGAGGATCGGGGGTTCAAAGCCAGCCTGGGGGAAGCAAAGTGCAATGAGACTGAACTCCAGTGAACCACAAAAAGCCAGAAGTGGTGCTCTGGTGCAAGTGGGTAGAGCACTAGCCTTGAGCACAAAAGCTGAGGGACAGCACCCAGGCCCAGCCACCTCCCCCAGCAAAAACAAAAGACGGGCCCCATTGGGGTGTTAGCTGCAAAGGTAGAACCAGTCCTTGGGTAGTTAATCCGGGTTTACTCAGTGGTGGTTAAAATGCAGCCCCAGGCCACACCCTGTCTGAAGCCGTGGAATTTATCCACTCAGGCGGAAATAACACGCCCCTGAGAAACTTGCACACAGCCTAACAATGAGCATAATCTGTATTCACTATTCCCAAGCCACAGCAAGGCCTGGTGATACCACCAGCAACACCACGGCTAACTAAGGCCGTGGCTCACGCCTGTCACCCTAGCCACTCGGGAGGCTGAGATCTGAGGACTGAAGTTCAAGGCCAGGAAGAAAGCAAAAGAGAAAGAAACAAAGGAGGGGAGGGGAGGGAGGGTGAGCTGGGGAAGGAGGGGAGGGGAAGGAGAAGAGAAAGAAGCAAATCTGAACGTGGCTTCCCACGCTGGTGACGTGTTTCCTGGGAGCCAGCAGGCCACATTTCCCAAGTCAAGAGAGCCGGACAAACCATCTTAGTTCTGATTCTCACCTCAGTCACGTTTCCCTGGGCGTCTCGAACCTCATTGAGTCCAACAAACTCTTCGTATCTGTCCCACCACGTCTTGGCAGTGGCGGCTGCTTTTTGCTGAATGCTGTGCCCCAGGGCCTTGCCTAGTGCTGGCAGGCGATGAGACAGCCGGAGGGCTACCTCTTCAGATCGCTTCTCTCCCGGCTGGCTGGAGCTGGAGCTGCACAGACTCCTGATCGGAAACAGATCCCTTCCAAGGAGGCATCTCCGTGCCAGTGTGTGGGGCGAACCTCCCATCTGCTGCATGGCAAACACAGGGCTGCACCCCATCATCAGATCTGTGAGGCTGGGGAGAGAGGGGAGGAATGTCAGAGGGGCCACTCGGCTAAAGTCAGACAACAGCTTCTGGGGCAAGATGTAGTCCCCTGGACAAAACAGATTGGGACATTGAACCCGTTTCTGTCATGATACCACATAAACCAAACCCTCCTTCCTATCCCTCCCTGTACCTCTCAGGTCTCTCTGATAACCTGACTGAGAATCGAATGCCCAGTCTTTTGATAATGCTTAAGAAAGTTCTCAAACTTCAGTTGTGTCCATGTGAACCAAGTCCCACAGATACCTAAAGGCTCTCTGTGCATTGGTGGGACTGAGGGTGATACAGGGCAGTTTAAGAAGCACAGTCACATTGATTGATTGTTTTACCAGTCCCAGGGCTTGAACTCTGGTCTTAAGCTCTGTCCCTGAGCCTCTGTGCTCAAGGCTAGCACTCTACCACTTGAGCCAGGGTGCCACTTCCAGCTTTTTCTGAGTAGTTTATTGAAGATAAGAGTCTGATGGACTTTCATGCCAGGGCTGGCTTTGAACTGTGATCCTCAGATCTCAGCTTCCTGAGTAGCTAGGACTATAGGTGTGAGCTACTGGTGCATGGCTCTTTTGTGGTGTGTGTGTGTGATAGGGCCTGAACTCAGGGCCTGGGCATTGCCCCTCAGCTCTTCAGCTCAAGGCTAGTACTCTACCACTTGAACCACAGCACCACTTCTGGTTTTTTCTGCTTATATAGTACTGAGGAATGGAACCCAGGGCTTCATGCATGCTAGGCAAACACTCTACCACTAAGCCACATTCCCAGCTCTCAGGTCATTTCTCTAAAAGATTCTCACATGCAACTTCCTAGACTCCCTGATGAGAACAGAGATCGTTGATGTCACAAGACAGAAAAGTTCTCTTTGGAGAAGGTAATTCCAGGGCAAGGGAAAACAGTTGTCTTGCACAGAGAATAGTTTTTCTAATGTTCATGTCAGCCCTTCAACCTGCCTTTCCGGCCTACTAAGTCCCAGTCTTAGATTTCTCACCTTCTGGAGATTTCTCCTACCTCCCCTGCCTCATGCCTGCACAGCAGGTCAGGCTTCTTTGTTCCTTCCCTTTGGGCCCTACCAATGCCCACTTCTCTGATCTGAATGGGGTACCAGAAGTATCTAGAGTCAGGCTTTGCCACAGCTCAAGAACAGAATGACTCTGAAGACCCTGGAGACAAGGTTATCCAAAGAGCCAGGAAAATCTGGTGCCTTCTTCATAGATCCCAAAGCTCTTAAGTGACAGAGCGACACCTGGTGGCGGACTCAGTAAGCCACAGGGAGTAAAGCAAGAGAAAGATGGGGACAAGACAGTGCCAGGTGCTGAGGAACAAAGTGCTTCCTGAGGAAGCTGAGATAGCCAACACAGCCCAGGCCACAGTATCCCAGCCTCTGCCTTCTCATTGGTGAAGAACTCAGAACCCTCTGAAAAACAAAGCAGAGGGGGCAGACATGTGCCTTCTGCCTAAAGGGGGTCCAGGCAGCCAGGTACCTGTTGCTCACACCTGTAATCCTAGCTACTCAGGAGGCTGAGATGTGAAGATCTCAGTCCAGTCATCCTGGGCAGGCACATCTGAGACTCTTGCTGGGCCCTGGTGGCTCACGCCCGTAATCCAGAAGGTGAGATCTAGAGGATGGAGGTTCAAAGCCAGCAGCGGCTTCAATTCAGGGTCTGGGAGGCTAGTCCCTGAGCTTTTGCACTCAAGTCCAGCGCTCTACCATTTTGAGCCACAGAGCCACTTCTGGTTTTCTGGTGGCTCATTGGAGACAAAGAGTTTTCTGCCCAGCCTGGCTTTTGTTAGTATTATACCCACCCTCTGGTCCTTAGCTCCACCCAGATCTGAACTCCTCCCTGCCTTAGAGTTCCTCCATAAAGCTGGCTACTCTCTCTCTCTCTGATTCTAACAGCTTTGAACCACAATCCTTATATCTCAGCCTCCTGAGTATCTAGGATGACCAGTGTGAGCCATTGGTGCCAAGCTCCATGATATTCTTTTTTTTTTTTTGTCGGTGGTGGGGGCTGAACTATGGGCTTGGGTGCCATCCCTGAGCTCTTCAGCTCAAGGTTGGTGCTCTACCACTTGAGACACAGTGCCGCTTCCGGCTTTTTTTTTTCTGCTTATGTGGTGCTGAGGAATCGAACCCAG